ATTCTCTTGCGGCTGGGTTAGTTGGGCTTTGGTTTTGTCTTTTACGTAGCTGTCGCCGAGAAACTGTCCGTGCTGGGTCGGTTAGGGGTCTTCAACAGATAAATAGTTACAAGGAAGCAGCAGATTTCCATGTAACACTCTTATCTTCGGCTATCTTTGTACCATTGGTTTCTGCTTTAACTTCATAAACGGGGCTGTCTGGTCCCTTCCTTCGAACAACGACGTGGATGGCGTTTTTCCGAGAGGATCTGCGCTCACCTAGATTTCGCACCAACACTCGATCGCCGGGCTGAAGCACCGAACTACGTACCAAACAGTGGCGAAGCTGAGGGCATTTGACTAGTCATGCTCTAAGACTCGCACAAGCTATGGGGGTCCGGGGTCTGGAATGGCCATTTCCTGCGAATTCAGAGTGAAATTCATGCAAAGAGAGCAACAAAAAAGCGTGTGATAAGAGGGAAATTCTTGATCATACTTTTTCTTTTTGAAATTTGTATTTCCACAAAATTTTATTTTATTTCACTATATATTTCAACTTAACTGAAAATGTCGCTCAATATAGCCAATACATTGGCAGAAGAAAGAGAATTTTGTATGTGTACACTTTAATACCCTTCTGTAATATGACCTTCCATTTGGAATTGCGTAAGGTCAACTGTAGTATACTATAGTATAGTGTCTACAAGGACCTTGTAACTGCATCTGAAGCAGAAACTTAATGTTAAAAGATACTTTGTTTATAGATACTTGGTATATCTGTTAACCTCCAATTATATAAGCACTCATGTAATAAACCAAATGAACTGGTATAGTAAATAGATTTATATCAATAAGAAAGGTCTTCACAAATCTTGTTCATATTCGCCATTATATACAGTAGAATACACAATTGAGTCTGTTCACAAGCATTTCGTGAGCTAAAATATCTTGTTAGAAGCCAGAATTATTCTATCAAAATAGCCTTCCTACGATTCACTCCATTGACATCGGTCAATTTCCATATATACATAACCTAGATAATCTTGACAGAATTGCTGAATAATTGACGGTATTTAACTTGGTCGTGCTTTCGAAGATGAGCACGACCAGAAGACAAATTTCGCCGAGATACGCATGCGCGAGGAGCAATTTAGCCAATAGAATGCGTTGGAATTTATAATTTAAATTAGTCGTGCTCGCCTGACGAGACCACGACTAACGGGCATTAGTCGTGCTATTAATCCGCAGTCGGGGGAAACTACGCAATCATCAAATTGGTTTAAAATCAGAGCAAAATCACCGGATTTGAAAGGATTTCGCACTTAATAGATGATGCACGTGCACCATAAATCATTCTTAAAATTTTGGGGGATTTTTTTTTAAGACTAAAAATTATTTCCTCTAGCTTCCCCACTGGTACTAAACGATCATAGTACTCATAGTTCTTGGCTTTCACACCGCTCTGTGTCAATTTCTGTCTCGCGACTTGGTCAGTATGCTTCTTGCATCGCTTTCCGCCATTCAGAGACGCACTGTGGATAGTTCTTGTTGGCCCTGGGTGAACTGCTACGGAAAATCAACTAGTCGATTGGTAGACGTGGATGACGCCTGAAAAGAACGAAGAATGGTGAATATCCAGTTGTATCGTTTCTAGTACAATTATAAGCGTGTACTACTTTGTTTACATGATCTTTCCATCGAGATTTTTCGTTTTCCGGGAGTGTTCTTAGCATGTCCAGCAATGTTCTGTTGAAACGCTCGACTTGCCCATTATCCTGTGGATGGTAAGGTGTAGTGCGGGAATGTTTGACACCCGAACGTTGTTCAAGCAGAAAGAGGAGTTGGCCATGTTTTTCAAACTCTCCGCCTTGACCGTCGTGAATTTTCGTAGGGAACCCGAAACGTAACACAAAATCATTAAACAGTTTCTCAGCACTGTCTTTCCCGCTTTATTCCAGGTGGGGTATGCCTGTGCATACCGCGTAAAATGGTCGACGATTACACAGTGCCTTTTTTAAGGAATTTTCACTGGGGGGGGGGGCAAAAACAGGAAAAAAGGCAGAACGAAAAATATGAGACGTCGAGGTTTGGCGAACGCGCGAGTCTGAAGAGAGATTTTGTAAAACATTAATTTATTAACTTCAGCTATTTTTTACTTTAAACAATAACTTCAACTCTTTGTAGCTATAATCCTACAGCTATAACCAGTGGCGTAGCCAAACCTTAATTTTTCACGCCGAAGGCGTGAGACCGTCTAGGAGGATCCGGGAGACCGTCTAGGAGGGTCCGGCATTTTGGGGATGAACTCTAGCAGAATTCCGAAGATTATAAAGTACATTGAAGACATGAATTTTTCCAGACATTTCTACTCGGAATTAAATAAATTGGAAAATTCACCTTGAAAAATAGTCAGTGCCACCTTATTTCCTCTCTGTGACGCTGGGGGGAGGGGGGAGGGGGGAATCCCAATGTGATTTTGATCAGAAATGTTGCATTTAAATCATTTTAGGTTCTATGAGACACCATTTCCGCATTCTCAAAATTGCGTTGCTTTTTCATACGATACAGAATAAGTCTGAGAAGAAATATTCATGCTATGATGATGCATACATGTATTTAACAGTTAAAAATGTAAACTAAATTTATTCTTCTTGGAACCATATCTACAACTGCTTTAACGAGATTTCACAACCCCCCCCCCCCTATTTCTCTACGGATTTCGCCTTTCTGAGAGAATGGTTTTTGTGGCGATTGGGGGGGGGGGCTCTTAATATAACTTGATATTTTTAAGAAAAAATTTTGCAATAAAACCTCCCAAACAACGCCTCTGCGGAGGAGAGTGCCAGGAAATAGTCGCAAGGCTTGGAAAGGCTAGCATTCTATTGGATTGTTTGCTTGAAATCCATCGCTATTATGAAATACTCGGTGAAGAACAATATGAATTACACACACGATGGCTGTGGAGGAGGCTATGGAAGGGCATAATCTCATTATCAAGTAAATCAACTGCAATTCTGACAGCAATTATGAGCAATTGTGCTTCGCACTTCGGGAGCAGAAATGGCTTTGCTGGGGGGGGAAATTCTTTCCCTGGGGGGCAATTGTCCCCCCAGATTAATAGTTAAAAAAGGCGCTGCCATTACAAGTATGTACTCGAAACCTCCACTCGATTTCTTTAGGTGGTAAAGTCATTGGATTAATACTCGAATGGTGAAGAGGTTATAATCGGCTATAACGGGGCTCTGTTCTTTAATCGGGCATGTTTCTGCTTAACACATCGACACTGGTTCCTCACGTAGTGTTCTACATCGTTTTTTTTTAATATCGGTCAAAGTTACTTCGTTCTTTTCAATATATATTGGCACTATATTATTAGATTGACCGGATACAGTATTTGCTTCACGAGCTTCCACCAGATCTAGTATATCACTCTTCTTCAGATGTTGGACTCCGCATAAAACTTCCGTTTTCCTTCTGGCATTTTCTTCATGGCAGTTTCTGTTACAAGCTGCCAACTGACATTTTCGTAGAGTATATGCATTAACGAACAAGACTAGATATGTTGGCAACTCTGATTTTGCTTTATACTGAGATGAGAATTTGAGAATTTGAAAATTTTGCCTATAAAAAATACTAGGATGAGAAAGATGCAAAATTACAAGTTCACTTTTAACAAAAATAAACTATATCACTATATAGAGAGTTCGCAAGAAAGTATATATTAGACATTTAAGTGTATAGAATGATTTTCGTGGCCAATTTTGAGCTTTTAACCCTTGAAAATGAAGAAAATATGTCAATTCATCCTGATAGCTACTATTTTGCCAACTTTAAGCTCCTTTAACTCAAACCTCTGCTTGAAAATTCGCACTATACTTAATTGCTTAAATGTCTTGTCTATACATTTGGCGATCTTGCTAATAGTGCAGTTTTTTTGTGAAAAGTGAACTTGAAATTTTGTATTTTTTGTCAAAATAATACTTTTATTAGGCAAAATTTTAAAATTCTGAAATTTTCAGTTACAAAGCCAAAATCAGAGGTGCGAACATATATAGTCTTGTTCACCAATGTGTAAGCTGAAAGAAAATGCCATCAGAGTGTACATTTCAGAATGTTGACCAGTCGTCTATCAATTGAGAATGTCCGTTTTGCCATTAGAGATAACTACGTGTAGACACATTCCCACATGTCAATTCACAATGGGGTATGTCAAGTTTGTACATTACGTCATTTTGTATGCAACCACAAAGTATACGTGACTGTATTTATGTTTCCTGTCTCAAATGACAGATAAGGATATGTTTCCCGTCTCAAATGACGGATAAGGATAATGATATATAAATGTTCCTCGATCCATGCAGGCATATATAAATGTTCCAGGTCGGTTTGAAAATGATAATTATTTATTAATAATGAATTGAAAGCATGAATAGTTGGTGTTTATTTGATGAAACAAATGAATGCATCTATACAAGTGATCAAGCTTACCGATTTTAATTTGGCGATATGGATCGTTATAGCCGAGAAAATCGAAAGTTTATGTCAATCAGGTGTATCAGCTACAGCAATTGATTAAACATCAATTTCTTTCCAATTTTCTTCATGATTGATTGAGGATATTTATAGAAAAATTAATTTCTGCCAATTTTCTTCAGTTTCTAAAGCCTACGGAGTGCTCGTACACGTCAAAGCAAGCTTAAATTTCTCGTGATGTAGTTGCTTATTTATCTACATGTACGCATTTCTATACATTTTTTATTTTTAAACGTTTGTGCAGTACATGCTGTAGTCGAGCAGTTGAATTTTGTGTCAATAAATATATTAGCATTTAACATGAGTTTAGACAGATAAGTGCATAATTTTACGATATACGGTTTGTTTAATAAGGGTGAGTGATTGTACCGTGTGTGTACTAAAGTTTGATAAAGTTTAAGGATACAAGTTTTGATCATCACTTAGTCCTGAATTATGTTTGATAAATTGGAAGATCGGATAAAATAAATTTTTCATCCATGTTCTTTAGATATCAAGATTTTAAACATCAAATACTTTGCGCTGAACATTTTGCTATCGTTCATCATGCTAGCAGTTGTACAATCTATTACAGGTATTTCGTATACTTTACTTCTATTATACGGCATATATTTTTAGATAAATTATAAATGTGCTTGTAGTTTAATTTTTTCACTCAGTACTAGTGTGTAACTGATGGTATTAAACAAGCCTTTTCATTATATGTACAATATCTTGTATCAGAACAAAATAAAGAAATAGTTTATTCAAACACACCAATACCTGATTCTTTTGTTTTAGGACCACAAAGGGAAGTCGTTTCAATATACAATGATAACTTTGCCACCCCGTTATCCAGACCTCAATATTTCATCGAAGTTTATCGTTGTGTTCAAGTTGACTTCGGCGAATGCCCTAGTAGTGGACCGTCCGGGTACCCTGTGCCCAAACAAATTGAAAAAATTGAGATCGTGGTTCCGGATATAACGAAAGGCAAAGATCGAAATTCTACCAATAAAACGAATTTTTATAAATATGTGGTTTATAATCACACGTCTTGTAAATGTGGCACCCTCAAGTTCAGGGATAGTACTCTGTATCAAACCATAACTAATAACGAAGGTTAGTCCAATGAACATGCATGTTTTGTGATTAACTTTCTTTCGATTTTTAGAAAACATTTTCCGTAGTTTTATTGTGATAGTCATAAAACATGTTGATATATATATAGGACTATGATAAGGAGGGGAACACGGGAGCTCTCTCCTCATTTAAAACTGCTGTGCTGAATATCTAGGTTACGTTATTGTTACTTGATGGGCTTGAAAACTCACGTAAATGCTAAAGCGCGTTTTCCACCTGGCGAAGTTGCTCGCGTGCGGCGTCTTTGTCGGCATTCTTTTTGCTGACGTGATGAGCAATGCTGATAAAGGATAAAGCAGCTGCGCGTGAACAAATTCGTCTGTGCTTGGTTCTTTCTTGTACATTGAGGGATTTCCTCCGCGTTCTCTGTCCCGGGTTTTCCTCTCTCCAGAAAGTAACCACTCTACTTTAGCTGCACTCCATGAAGACAACCACTAGCATCATTAGTCAGCCGCATTAGTCAGCCGCATTAGTCAGCCTTCGACTCAGTGACGTTTCACGTAATTCAGGTCTCAACTGCAGGATTTGGTGATTATTACACCGTAACCTTATTCTGTATGAATTTCTCTTGTAGTGTCAAAAACTGATTACAGTGCGAACTGTACGAAAAATCCAGTCAATCTGATACATCAGTGTCACAGTCATGCTTGCAAACCTCAACAAAGATACCATTTCACGCATATCGACGCTGTCCGACCGTCAACATATCTAGCGTACAAACAGTGCTTGCCCGGCAGTGTGGCGTTAAAAAACAACACGTTTACAAATCAAATTACCTTGATAAATAATAAAGTGAAGTTTGTCAACCTTACAAGTGATATATCATGCAAGGCTAATGATGGAAAGAACGCTGAACCACAACTATGCCCCAACTCTACAACGCAAAATACACGAAACCCGACAATTGCAACGCAAAATATCACTCTTTAAACTGGGAAGCTACGAGTATCAACGGAAGATTGAAACCCGCGTGACGAAGGTAAGAATGCTTATCATAAATTAGCATATTAGAGTTGAGAGGTTTTATAGGGAAGGCGTATTAGAGAGGGGGGGCTGATTAGAGAGGGGGCGTATTAAATAGGGGACATATTAGGGATGCCTGACCGGACATAGGGGACATATTAGAGCAGAGAGGGTTTATTGGAGAGAGAGTAAGGATACTTATTATGCACGAGTATATTATAGAGGAAGCAACCTAGAGAGGGGGGTTTGATATAGGTTATGACGTTTTACGCGCTGTAGATTGATGACTTGTATTATCATGTTTCTGTTTAGAGCCAAATTATGTGATTCTAGTTTCCATTGCATCTGGCGAAGCTCTCCTCGCTGGGTTTCTACTGTCGTTGGTATTATTTACTATACAGCTAGATAGTTATAGATAGATAATTTTATTAAAATTAACTTTGCAGCCCAAGGGCTGAATTGTATTAACTATTACAAAAATAAGCCTCAATCGCTATTACATGGTGCACTAGACTAATAAATACTTTAAATTTAATTATATCTTAGCTTAAAATTTTAATGAATTATGTACAATAAAAGTTTTCCTATGTCGTTCTGTCTGGAAGTTAACAATAAATTTGTGTTTTGTTCTTAGACTAAAATGGTTCAAATTACGAATGCAATCTATGGCTATCATTAATTCTATATTTCATGGAAAAGTTTGTCAGTAAATCTTTGTCTTCGTGTACTTAATTGCTGAAGCTGAAGGTGGCAACACTAAGTGCCTCATCATAGGGGACCCAAGGGAAGATTATCCTCAGAGCTCTTTTTTGTATCATTTCGAGATCGTTTGATAGATAGACGGTTAGACTGTAGTGGAAGACTGGGGATGCATACTCCAAAATTGGTCGGATGCAAACAGTATAATCCTGTATAGAATTGAACTACTGTAGTTCCATGTTGCCGATATTAGATTTTTTAATTGGCTTAGGAAGAACAGTCTTTTCCGCGCGCCTTTGATGTTTTCGTGAATATGATTATTCCACTTCAGGTTATTGGAGACATAGAGACCAAGGAGCTTTACACATTCAACGACTTCGATAGGGTTGTTATTAATTAGGATAGGGTCGAATTGCGGTACCGGTGCATTTCGATTAAATCCAATACGTAGTTCTTTACACTTTCCCTCATTTAGTTGGAATTTATTAGCTTTTGCTTGGATAGTGAATTGATCAACTTCATTTTGAATGTAACTTGTATCTCATTTTTTGATTGTTTCCGATATAAAGTTGAATCGTCGACAAACTTCCACATATCAGATATGGGAATCACTAAGTCGTTAATCATTATTGTGAATAGCCATGGGCCAAGTTTTGTTCCTTTGGGGATACCTGCTGTAACTGGTTCCCAAACAGAATATAACAATCATATTTCATTTTGACCCGCTGTTTTCTGCCGGTCAAAAATCTTTTATCCAATCAATTGTCCATCGGGGTAGATCGTATGTTTTTAGTTTCTTAAGTAACAGGTGATGGTCAATCAGGTCGAAGGCCTTTCTAAAGTCTAAAGTCAAGCAGCGTCACTCCAGTTGATCCGCCGTTTCCGTCTGTTGATCCGCTCCAAGAATGCAGCATGCTTACGGGTGCATGGACGGTGCTTGAATTAGGAATCGTTCCGTACTGATTGAGATCTACTTTTTTAAGTACAGTTAGTTTGACAAAACAGCTCAGCTATATTAATTATAGACATTACTCTTTGCCGTCGAAAGAAATGAATTCTTTACGCTTTGCTTGGTTTTAAGGTTAATGACGCGGATCGTTTTTGTCAACGCTGCAGCGAAAAAAAGTAGAAATAAGATTACAGTGTAAAACATAAGTAACTACGAAGACCTAGTTCACACCTTTTCATGTCTCGAGCCAAGGAGCTAAAATAATGAGTTTACGTCATTGATGTTATTACCTGTACTTTTCAGATATACAATAATGTCATTCCATTTGGGGCTCAGACAATCAGTTTCAAATGTCTTGGGACAGGTGCCACAAAAATCTATAGTTTCAACAAACGTTGACCCCCTCCCCCCCCCACCCCCTATTCAATGTTGTTTGCCTTTTTTATCAGATTTGATGCGTTTGAATTGAGAATGCAACATTGATTGGGGAGGGGGGAGGGGTGCCGAATTGTATGTGAGGGACTGTATTTGATCGACTTGCAATCTAAAACTGGATGTGTCCCAACAACTTTTGAAAGTGATTGTAGGCGTCTTCAAGTGGCGATTCACACGAAATTTGCTTTCTCACGTCTTGAACAATATTTCTTTACCTTTAATATTTAGTTTAAATATTAGACTTAATTCGATATAAATAAACACAAATATAAAACCTCGAGTGTGAATGAATAATGTCCAGATAAACAAACTTATATCCCAATAAACAAAACTTACAAGAAGGTCCAAGTCCAAACAAATGTAATGTTTTAAGTATAAATATTGTAATGGTCGCTGGGCAAGCTTGATAATTCGAAACGATGACGATTTGCTTACGTCACAACGCGTTGTAATAAGGTTCGAAGAAACTAAATGCGAGATATGTATATTTTACGGGCAACTTTAATGTTCTTACACCAGAACGATATAAATGTTCAATAGAAATTTAAATGTCAAATGGTTACACGAATAGTTGTTGAAGACATCTAATTCGTCTATAAGTCGTCATTTGAATTTCTACAGGTATTGAACATTTATATCGTTATGGTGTAAGAACATTAAAGTTGCCCGTAAAATATATCCTCGCGTTTTGTTTCTTCGAACCTTAATACAACGCGTCGTGACGTAAGCAAATCGTCATCGTTTCAAATTATCGAGCTTAGATAAGATAAGATAAGATAAAACTTTATTTAGACACGCTTACTCCATCAGCAAATGCTCATTTCCAAGGAGGGCGTGCAAATTAAAAGATACATGAATAAAGTAACATAACACACATTAATAACATAAATATTATATATATAACAAAGAGTACAATCGATCAAAAGCAGGCTAGTGTCAGCAATCAAGGTATTAAATGAACTCAAACAATCTGCAATTCTCAGATTGCCAGATAATTCATTCCAAAGTTTCGCACCGCAAAACCCAATAGTTTTCTTTAAGTATTCAGTATTAGGTTTCTGTAAATACAATTTGAATTCGTTATTACGTAAATTATAGATTTGTTGTGACTTTCAAAGATTTCGGTCAAAGCAACTGGTGCTTGCGAATGAGTAATTTTATACATAAGTCTGGCCTTCACGATCAGCCTGAGTTCTTTTAAGGTTTTCCAACCCAACTCCAATAACGCTGCTTCAGACTGACAGTGCTCATTTCTATAACCTGATATGACCCTTGCTGTTCTATTTTGTAAAGTCTAAATTCGATTTGAAAGCGTGGCGCCAATTGGGTCCCACACAAGGCAGCAGTAGTCAAAATAAGGTCGAACCAAACAGTGCTCATTTCTATAACCTGATATGACCCTTGCTGCTCTATTTTGTAAAGTCTGAATTCGATTTGAAAGCGTGGCGCCAATTGGGTCCCACACAAGGCAGCAGTAGTCAAAATAAGGTTGAACCAAAGCATAATAGACTGGTATAAGTGACTCACGAGAAACATAACTTTTTAGTCTTCTGATTGCACCAATTCCCGAGGACGCCTTTTTACATATTTCCTCCAAATGATTGTCCCAGAATAAAAATTGGTCAATTTGAAGACACAACGATTTAGTTTGTTTTACTCGTTTAATGGGTACATTGTCAATCATAATGTTAGATTCAGATGTAAGATTATTAAGATTAAATGGACGGCCAATTACTAAATATTCAGTCTTTGTAAGATTAAGACTTAATTTATTAGCTAATAGCCACTCTTTAATGTTAATCAAGTCGCAATTAATTTTAGATTCAATCTGTTGTATTGACTTGCCAGAAACAGTAAGGGTAGTGTCATCTGCAAACATTCTAATATTGGAATTTTCCACACAATTTGGCAAATCATTCACATAAATTAGAAATAGTAGAGCCACCAATATGGAACTTTGGGGGATTCCATATAGCAGCGACCGTTACGGCAACCGTTACAAATTGCAGCGACCGTTACAAATGTCATGAAAATTTTGCAGATTCGACGCTTGTATATATTATACAGTATAGGCTATCTCTAAGGCTATTAGTCTGCGAACCCAGACGTCATTTCCCACGTTCATTCTTCGCTCGGAAAGTAACGTCTGCCAATCCGAGCGGGAATATACAATTACTTTATTGTTTTCGTGTTTGGATGGCCTGATTTAAACACGCGGGAATGTTGCGAGAGTTAAGAAAAGCGGGCGAAATCACGAGTCGAAGGCGAGTGATTTTTCGCACTTTTCTTAACTCGAGCAACATTCCCAAGTGTTTGGATCAGGCCATCCAAATACGTAAACCATAAAGTAATTGTTTTATAAAATAACAACTTTCCGTGTTAAAATTTTACTTTAAAAAAATTTCACTTTAAATTTCCGTGTTCGGTTGGCCTGATCCAAACACAGGTTGCAACCAATCAGAGCACGTGTTTATCCCGAGCCAACGGCGCGAAGCACCGTTCCGGGCGTAAGCCCGGTGCGAGGGTACTAATTCCGCCCGGCTATTTACACCAGGGTGTTTGAGAACATAGAGAACATAGATATAGGAGACCTAGATTGCTGACTCGGCTGAAGAGGCGCGCCAAATTTGAAAATCCAAGATGGCGGCTCAACCGGTCAAAAATCATGGAGCGAGATAGGGAAAAACCATGTTTTTTGCATTTTACGTCGTCCTACTGTTTCCGATTCCGTTGAACCACCTTTTTTTTGGAAGAACTAACTGTTGTGAAAGTTTTAGATGTATATTTGTTATAATTAGTACGATTTACAGTTTAAAATTCAACCGGGCAAGAATGGGCAAAGACGAAAATGGCGCGAAACTGCCGGCCTGGATTCTTATCCTGTGTATTCCTTCAGTCTTTTACCAGTTTTTCTAAAGTAATGTAACATATATCTGATTATTCCAAAAGTTACTATTATTTATTTTGTTCTTTCATTGTTATTTCGACGAAAATACAGTATTTTCAACTGAAAATTCTAGGGCATTCTATTCTAAAAAATCTGTTTTTCTATCGAAAAGAATGCCTTGAATCTCGGCCTGTTTTGTGTGCTGAGGTAACTGCAAGGCCAGACGTGGGGATTTAAAAGATGGTATTCGCTTGTCCTTCAATAAGTAAGTCTATGAAATACACATCGTATATTTGTACACTATAACATACTTCATATAAACAGAATAGTACAAGACTATTAAAATAAGACAGCTTTTAAAAGCATAAAAACAATTTGTTTTGTAAATACAATAATGATACCAAATGTAGTTTTGAGCTTGTTGCCTACAATATAAAACTGTTTACAGTTTTAGTAAAAGAATATTAGACCAAAAGAACTTCTTGTTTTGGTGTCTGTGTTAGGAGTCTATATGTATATATATGCATGTTGACAATAACTTTCATAGAGGTCCTTGCCTGTTGAAGGTAAAAAAAATTGAGTTTTGTTCACATCAGTGAACCAAAAATACATATTTCCCTTCACACT